AATTCAGTAGAATGGGAAAAAAGCAGTTAAATGGAAAAAAAACATAAGAATAGGGTATGTTAAAATTCCACAGACTATAATGGCAAAACCCTGATAATTATAAATCCCATTAAGTCTAGGGACAAAAATTACACATAAACCCGTGTGATTGGAAGTGATTAGAAACTAGTTCAAGACTGTAACACAGGAGAAGTTCAGTACACATAAACTTCTTTCAAAATGACCAAAACCAATTTAATATAAACCTGGATGGATGTATCAGAGTGTGCCCATATATGTGGGGAGGGGCTGTTTTAATTAGAGCAGTTAATTAGAACTGCTCTAATTAAAACGGCTCACCATCATGTGTATTAAGCCCCCACATTTTAAAATGGCTGCAGGGGCACTTTAACTAAAGCTCACTCAACAAGCTTGAGTTAAAGCACCCTCACGACCAATTTAAAATGGGTGCGGGGGGGGCTCTATACACATGATAGTGAGGTGATGCCGGAGCATTCTAATTAGGATGTGGAGCAGATTCAATTAATCGAGTCTGCTCTGATGTGTTCTAAATAGAACGTGAACCGGCACATCTATAGGCAGCTAGACTTAACTGATTTAAGTTAAATTAGTTTATTGAACTTCTGTCCCTTCCAGATTCAAGTTAACTCACACTCCCCTGCAAACCCCAACCTCGCATGTCGTAGGTGGGCAGACTAACCTTAGCTCAAGCTGTCGGCTCCAGCTGAGCAGGGAGGCATGTTCTAGTGTCCCTCCCACCCCCTCTGCTTTTGGTCTGGGTCACTGCAGGCATGTGGCTGCATTTCCAGAATCAAAAAGTAAATGTCTGTTTACTTGCTTACCGGTTCAATCTATGGGGCTTAGACTAACCTATGAAGGTTGAATCGATTCTGCCTTGGACTTTTTGGCTGTCTGTACTTAGCCTAAAGGTCTAGAGAACACATGAAACTGCCTTTCAGTATCTGGACCAATTTGATCTGATTCTGTACCATGATTTCTGTGGCATAAAGAACTGCCTACATGAATCCAGCTGCAGGATCAGTTCCTACAGTTGCATGTTGTATCACTTTTCTGCCATACCTTGTTTTCCTCCTTTTAGATAAAAAATTGTTTTCGCTATAGCCCAGTGGTATAGACAAAGTTACTGAAAGCGTTAGTATTGAAGGATACCAATACAGGCAAATGTAACTGTTCAATCTTGTTTGTATAGCCATGGAAGTATAGCAAAACTATTGCAACTTTAAACCTGTTTCTTTCAGGATGGAGGTCGGGGTGTACTCACTACCTTGTATCGCTACAGGAGCATGCAGAGGATGCTGTGAGGATGTTAGATCATATTAGAAGAGTTGATTTGAACTTCCTAGCAGCCGCTGCCCCTCCCTTTTTAAAGAAGTTAAAAGACACATTTGTCCATACCCCAGGTTGTCCTATGTGTTTGGACATCATATAGTGAAACACAGCATTGGTCACGGCTGTGGCCATGTGTACTATTGCAATAGAAATAATCAGTTTGCACTATGTAAATTAAGGCAGCTCAGCTCTTAATATTTTTTACTTTTGAGTACACTAAAAGAAATCCATTTAATGATGTATATTAGGTGAATTTGGCACATTATTTCCCAGTTTTGGTTAGTGAAATATTTGATGTACTGGAAAATCCTTATTAAAAGCGTAAACTTATTTTGATGCTAGAAAATCTGTTCATTCTTGATTGACTTAGTAAGAGTCTAACCTTTTTTTCCCATTGCAAAGAGTCGCAGCTGCATAAATTAGTGGATTCCACATCAGTTGTGGTTTTACATGTTAGAAACAACTCCTTAAACTCCTCCCAGGAACCGCCATACAGCTTGTCAGTGCAGATAATGGAGTACTAACATAATAGGCTTACATGCTTAGAGCTTCTCTGCGTAGGGAAGTTAGCCTGGATTAAGATAGTTTGTGAATATAAAATGAAATAGTTTCCTTATTTAACTTTCTGCATGAACACTTATTCTAGAATAAGAGTGATTTATGGTATTCCAAATTAGCTAGATCCCCTATTGTTTAGCTGACTGAAATGAAACTCTCCTGTTCTAGAAAAAGGGCATTCTTATGAGATTGAGTTTTTTTAGAATATGAGCGTTCACATAAAGTTAATCAGGAGTAGCTAATGCAAAATAACTCCTCATCCAGAAGATTCAGTATGGAAGTTTATTTAAGATGCACCGCCAAAAGGATGGATTGCTTGTAAATTACAGTAATCCATCCTTTTGGTGGTGCATCTTAAATATATTTCCATCAGTTTTAAAGTGACAAATACATTGAATCTAGGTACCAAAACTGCACATGGAGAGTAGAATTTTACCCTCATAGCCCGGTATAAATGAAAGCCATCACTCTGATCAGGGCTGAAATCTAATTACGCAGAAGCAGCTGGGAGTCTAACATTGTTAATCTTTAATTTAATTGTTTGGTTGGAAGAAAAGCAAACAGTTGTTGGACTTCTGTATCCTTAACAAAAGAGCAATTTGGAGTTGTGCAAAATAGTTGCCTTGAAACTGTTAGTTCCCATGGAAATGTACCAGTGTGACAAAAATGGACAGAAATACGGGAGATACAATTCTAGCTTTCTAAAGTCCAAGGCAAATTTCAGTAGGGCCAGGATTTCATGCAAATACTTTAATTTCCATTTTTTGTCAATGTTTCTACATCAAGATAGTTAATTTTTCAAGGTTTTAAAAACATTTAGTATAATTTTGCTTTTTTGTGTGAGACTTGTAAACAGAAGACACTGCATTTACTCCAGCTGTTCCCCATAGCCTGTATCTCTTTTTTCAAAGTGTGTGGCCAAATCTGCTGCTGTGTCGTGTTTCATCCAAATGCCTGATTGGCTCAAGCCTTGGGCTGTCCTGGGACTCTGTCAATGCAAATTCTTGCGCTTTCTTTCCTCTCCACTCTGCTGTGGGTTAAGAAAGATTGTCTGTTTTTCGAACACTGAAAGATGTGGAAAATGTACTGAAAGGAATTTAAAAGGGAATGTTTCAATCTTGGCATGAAACATGGTTGTAAAAAGAATAGTTTTGATGACATTCATCTGTTGCAGATTGAACTAGGTGGAATTAATGATTGTAAATTGAACTCAGACAGGGTGATGGAGAAGGGTGGTAGTTTAAGTAAATGAGACACCATGATCTGTATTTAGTAAGCTGAACAAAAGTTAGCTTTGAATAATGTGGAGCCTTACAAATAATAGTTTTCATGATCTTGCAGGGCATAGGGAGAAGAGGGAATATTTGTTCGGTGCAAATGTGAGTTGTTCCAGGAAGATGTTAAGTGAAAGACCACAGGATATGCTTATCCTTCATAGAGAAAAATCATAGCGAATCATAGAGAATTAAGACAAAGGGAGCAAAACTGAAGCATGTCATACTTACTTGGGCTCATAGCATATCCACAAGTTGGACAAAAAATAAAGACCTGTCTTTTTCTCAGCTCAATTTCATTCACATCTATAAACACATCCCTACACTATAAATCCTCTGAGCTGTTAAGATGAGTATATGAGTGTGCTTAGCAGAGGAGCAGAATGATGATAATTGTATCCGATTGCCTTGGATATAGATATTCAGATCTTGGTGCTGCTTTCCCTTTGGATTCCTGATTTATGCTTGGTCACACCTGAAGTCTCGAAGGGCTGTTTGTTTTCTTAGGATACATTTTAGCTCTTTCTGTGGTGCCAAACATACCATATGTGCAGCAAATAATAACTCTGCTCTTTTGTTCATGCTTATCTAGTTTAATATCTATGGGACATTTCTCTTCTAAATATCATAGAAAAGTGTGAATGTTTGTGAGAGGGTTCTATGAACGTATGCACCAGGCACTTCCAAATTAAAGAATTAAAATACTTGTGTATTTTGTTGTCTCCAAACATTGGAAATAATAGCATGGAAGAAGTCAGAAGAAGGCAGGGAAGAAGTCAAAAGCAGAACACCCCCCCCAAGTACTTCAACACTGGGCTTTTCCAGCTTAAAGCACTCAAGGGGGCATGTTCTGCTCCCGGCTTGGCTGGGACTGATGCACATTCTTCCTTCCTCTGTGGGAGAGGGAGGCAAAGTAGTGAAGCACACTGGCTGCCTGTACCAAAGTTTTGTCTCCTGAGAGAGATTCTCTGGGGAGCTATTTTCCTTGGTTGTTCCCAAGTTATTTTTCTTCCCAAGTGACTACTTTTACTCTGGAAGAAAAATGATGAACTTCTGTACACTTGTGGTTTCTCCTGAGAGAGCAGGGAATCTCCCTGGAGAAACTGAACATCTGTCGAAGGCCTTAGAGCCATCAGAGATTATTTACTCTGTAGCTTTAGACTCCTGAGTTTCTTGGCTGCTTTCACTGCTTACCCCATCTCTTTTGGAAAAGATATGTTTTTTCATTGCTGATGGAGCTTATTTAAAGAGTTCTTAAGTCTTCTTGAGCGTGATTCCTCTTGGTTCACCACAAGGTTGAAGACAATAGGGATGTCCTTCCAAAAGATTTCTCTCTGTTGAATATACATTTACTATACCTGGTTTGCTCCAGAATTTGTGCTCACATCTTTTTTATTTCAAAAGTATTTTGTCATCTTTCTTTATGCATAGCAGCTGCCCAAGGTGTGCATCCACATCAAACAATGAGCCTCATAATAGTTTGCATGGTTAGAGAGTTGGGCATGTATATAAATGTCATAGCCTGAGTGGCAGATCGATGTACTAAAAATGCTGTTCCTTTACCTACTGTTGTTAACTTTAATTAGTAGGATTTTTAATCTCCTTTGCCTGGCTATGTTTTGACCTTCCACTCTTCTTGCCATATTTTGCTGAGTTTGATGAGTCTTTTATTTGTGCCAATGCTGTACTGCTAGGAATATAAATCAATACTAGTAAAATGCACGGTCATTTTTCTTTGCGCTTAGCTGCTCCTGCAGCATAAACCATCTCTTTAAAACGGTGTTTAACTAAAGTTTTGATTTCCTTTTTTTTTCACAGTCCGACAGCAATGCAAGCTTTCTCCGAGCTGCCAGAGCTGGCAATTTGGACAAAGTAGTGGAGTATCTGAAGAGCGGAATAGACATCAACACATGTAATCAGGTAGGAGACCATATGGGCATGCATCTATTTATATAGGTAGATAAACTGAGCTGTAAAGAGGAAGCCCTATGTGCTTCTGTCATCTAAATTGCTTCGCAGTTAATTCTGAGTCAGTTTTAGATATTTTTTTTGGCTCCAGCCTTCACATTGGAATGCCTGCTCCTCCCCATGTAGCTGACAATGCCCACACTACTCTTGGGCTGACTTTAATAAAGGCTCTTCGTGGTGACTACATACGTACTTCCAAGCCCCCTATTTCTGCCAGCACCACAGCATAATAAAATGTGAAGATCCAGGAGGTGGGCAGAGGAAGAGAGGAAGCAGCCACACCCCTCTTTGGCTGTGCCGTACATGTGCAGTGAAGTCTCTGAGTTCACCGGCTTGTCAGTGAGGCTCTGGACCTCAGGGAACTACTTTCCCCACATTTTTTTCCTGGAGCAGCAGGCAAGGAGGTGAGAGAGTGAGCAGTGCCAGTGTTCACCCCATGAGCTCTGGTGCCATGCTGACAAGTTGGTGAGTGCAGAGAGCTCACTGCACATGTACTACGCAGCAGAAGTAAGGTGCCGCCACACTCCCTGCAGTCCCCTAGATCTGCCCGTGCATGCATGTGTAGGTGGGCCAATTTTGGTAGCTCAGCGTTCTGTGAAGATGTGAATTTTGCACATACATAATAAGCGTGTGTATCAATTTTATGAGCTGTATCAAGTGGACGTGTAGGGACTATTTTGAGGTTCTGGGTTAAGGTGAAATATTTAGCACTAGAGGTTTTTATGGGGTTTTACAGTTACTTAAACCAATCTAAAAATGTGGTTACTGTCTAAAGAAATTAACACAAAAAAGGAAGTTTCATGATAGTTAAGACTTGTGTTCCCAGTCATTATAGCTGGGAAGATATTAAGGATACATAAACACTTTTTTTTGCATAGATGAGAACTTTGTGGGTGTCCTACTACTGGCTTCTTCCACAAAGCCTCATTTTTTCTGGAAAAAAACACCTTACTGTGAGAGCACTTTTGTAAAGTATAGTGGTGGGATTAAACATCCCAAGGGTAGGATTCACCTGTGCAAGATACTACACCACTGATTTTTGTCTACTATCAATTCCAGATCACCTTGCCTTGTTACTCCCTCAACATTACCTCTTAGCTGTCTGAAAAAGAGGGTCTGATAATTTGGAAAATATCATCCCCTACCTAGACTTAGGGCATCTCCAGCCAAGTGGGAACGTGTGTTTTCCCAGGGACAAGTAGCAGCAGTGTACCTTGTGCCGCCACTGGCGTTCCCTAGCAATGCCTGTGCCACGCACGCTCTGGTGTGTGGCAGGTTACCCCAGGTCAGGTAGGGGAGGCTGGGGCCAGCAACTGTGCCTGTGGCTCTAGGGGCCTCTGGCACTTCTGCAGCTGGGAGCCTGGCCAGCAGCCGGTCTGTGGCTCCAATTAGCCACGCTCTGGTTTTGGCTGGCACACACTGCTGCCACATGCGCTGCCCCACCTTTTTTAGGCATGCATTATAAATATAAATTAACCAACCCCCGCCCAAAAAGTGGTAGCATGGGGACTGCTGGCATGTGCAGTGTGTGGTGCCACAGATGGGTCTGCAGTGCCACATACTGCGCATCCGTGCTCATCTGAATGCGCCCTTACTGTTCTTTTTTTAAGTTTGTACCAGTAGCATAACAAAAGGTGGGGGTGACTGGGGCACCAGCACTGGGCACCAACTTGGGTGGGGATACAAAAACAGCAACCGCTGCACTGCTGGCCCAGCCACTGCCAGCATCCTGCCCTGTACACTGCCACCTCTCAGGGTGCATAACTGCCCAGATATACCTCTGATTTGTACTGTGGTAGCACACACCGGCCTCAACCAGATATAAAGATCCAGTGCAGTAAACACTGTATGCATTTATACTGAAAAGACAGTCTGATCTCTAGAAAACTTAGAGTTGAAGTTGGGGATGGGCAGCAATGACTGATACAATACATTAGAGAAGGAGCATGATGTAATGCTTACCATTAGCAAACCAATTTCCTAGCTATTGTTAGTTGTTTCATAGGCTCCTTTACATACATCTTCGTAGACATAAATGGCATAATGGAGGAAAATGTAAAGTCACTATGGAAAAGTTAGCATTGTTAGCAAGGCTAAGCACAGGTTAAATGTACTGTACCAAACAAGAGATGGTAGGCTAGACGGGGGTAGGCTCTGAAGAGTCTTAAAGTGAAAACAAGTAGTTTTTGCTGTGGAAAAATGAATGTGGAAAAATGAATCTAAGGAAAGATGTGACAGAAATAAAGCAGCAAGCCAAGAAAATGAGTTTTGAACCTTGGTAAGGACTATGAATTATAAAATTATTTTTGTGAGCTAAACCAGCAAGATGGAGAGGTCTGGCCTTTCCCATACATTGACATAATTACATTGTACACTTTTTGGGACAGGTGTATTTTGTTCTGTGTGAGGCGAGTGCTTAGTACAGTTAGTCCTAATCTGAGACTAGGATTCTAGATATGGTAACACTAATAATCGTAGAATCATAGGAAAGCAGGGCTGGAAGGGACTTGGGAGGTCATATAGTCCATCACCCTGTTCAAGGCAGGAAGATCTCTAACTAAATAAATAATCTTAGCCAAGTGTGTGTCTCACCTGCTCTTGAACATTTCAATGCTTGACCACTCTCATAGTGAGAAAGTTTTTCCTAATCTCCAAACTAAATTTCCCCTGCTGCAAATTGAGGCCCTTGCACTCCTAGTCGTGCCCCCTACAGCCACAGATAAAAGTCCATTTCCATCCTTTCTATAATTGCCCATCAGGTATTTGAAAAATCCCCTCTCAGTCTCCTCTTCTCCAGACTAAATAACCCTAGCTCTTTCTGCCTTCCATCATAAATTATTATTCCCAGGCCTCTAATTATTTCTGTTGCTCTGTGCTGCACTTTTTCCAAACTGTCTGCATCCTTCTTGAAGTGTGGGACCCAAAACTGGACACAGTGTTACAGGTGAAGCCTTACCAGTGCTGAGTAGAGTGGAAGAATCACTTCCCTTGATTTGCAAGTGACACTCCTGTTAATACAACCAAGGATGCTGTTGACTTTTTTAAGAAGAGAACACTGTTGGTTCATATTCAGTTTATGGTCCACTGTAACCTCCAGGTCCTTCTCTGAAGTACTGCACCATAGCCAGTCATTCCCCAGGCTGTATTTGTACATGCAGTTATTCCATCCCAAGTGCAGGACTTTACCCAACCTGGCCTCATCCAGTGAGAGAATTTTTAACATATTTAGTTTTTTGACATTTTTTGGCAGGAATGACCCTGGTCACATAATAATATGTCAATATGTATTTCTTCAGAAGGACAAAATAAACCTAAAGGAATTTCATGGCTCTGATAAGCCTATCAACAGTTTTTAAATCTGGTTTCCGCAATACAGATATGACAGGAATGATATATCTGAATGCATTGATGCAGTTTGATTGCTCATGAATTAAACTGTGAAAAGTAGAAGCAAAATGATTGGATAGCTCACACCAAAAGATTATTTGGTAGACCTTATCTAAATCATTTCAAACTTTACTTATTGTCTATGTTTTTAATAATGTGCTTGTAAATAAGATTGTTCAGTGAATTCATTTTGCAAATAAATTTTGGAAGTTAAACATTATTATAGCACATTGTATACTATTAAAACCTGGGTTGTTAAAAAAATCAACATTTCATTCCAATGAAAATTTCATTTAGGCAATTTTGTGAAAACTGCTTTCTTGGAATAAAAACAGTATTTTCTCAAAGGAAAGATGAAAATGGATACACCTGGCCAAACATTTTCCATTTTGTCTCTTTTTTTTTTAGTTCACAGATAATTTTGTTCCTTTTTATTTTTATGAAAAGTTGAACTTTTACACTGAAAAACATGAGCAAATATTTTGTTTTACTTGGATATTACCATGGGAAACCCTACACTTTTTCTGGCTTGTTTACAGATCATTGCTTAAGAATGTAGGAATTGAATTATTGCCTTTTTCATGCAACACCTTGATTAATGTTAGTCACAAGCAACTAACCAAAGAATGAAAGGAACCAAGGTTCAAAGATTTGAAACAATCTTTTGAGATATGGGTTTTCCTTATTCTGCTCTGCTTGAAAGTGCTGCTGTTCATTTAAACCATAGAAGGTGCCTCTTGACCCTGGGAACAGGGATTTTAATACAGGGATTTGACATTTCTGGCAAACCTTGCAAATTAAATAAGTCAATTATCAGCCTGATGGACAGAGAAGTCTTTACTGCTCTGACATAGATACAGCTTTTAGCAGCTAAAACGAAACTTCACTGGTAGCATGCATAGTAAATCCCAAACTTGTGTTTTTTGCCTCCTCCATGGTGGATTTTATTGAAATAATATTACAGCAGCACTAGTGAGAACAGGTTCCTTCATCTTCTAAGATTTGTGCTCCAGTGAACTTTTTTCTTTATGATCCTGCTTTATAAGAAAAAGAGCTCTTTCTTCCTTTCCACTGTAGTGGCATCCTAAAACCTTCCAGCCCAACACAGAAAGTAAAGTGCTCAAACCGTCCCGGTGGGAATAGTTTGGAGGACAGATGAGCTCTCAGAAAAGTTTTCAGAGACCATGTTTAAGAAACTCTCTCTCTTGATGTTTTCATGGTATATGATAGCACCTCAGCCTGTTATAATAGGAAACAGTTCCTAACAGATGCTTTGTTTATCAACCGACCTTGCACATTTAGTGCCTCTCTCGTTTGAATGATTGCTGTGTATGGACAATGATCTCCTTAGAGAAGAAGCATAAAGTAATGCTTCCCATTAGCAAACCGGTTTCCTAGCTATTGTTAGTTGTTTTATAGGCTCCTTTACATGCATCTTCACAGACATAAATACCATAATGAACACACGGACGTAGCCCAAGTGGAGGCATTATAGCATTTTTGCACAACACATCTCTTAGATATTCCTTTTCACTGGCAAGAAGCAGTATCTGGCCACTCACTGC